GAGCGGTAGTGTACCCAGCTAAACATATTCACCCTCCCAGACTCCTTTACACATAGGTGTTTACATGTGACAGAATTCTAGTCCATGAAAGTCACTGAGTAGGGTTTCTAGGAGGGATTTTTCAAAGGGCGTGTTCTCTTTCTCCTTTTGTCCCTTCCTTTCACGCCTGGAGAAGGAGTCCTACTTATGACATATAGGTCATATGACTGTGGGATAATAAGATTGGAGACGTCTCCCTCCCTCTCTCTCCCTTTTACTAGTCTGCTTTCTCCATCACAATGTCTTATTTCCAGTCTACATTTTCTGCCCGTGAAATAGCTGCTGATGCTCCGATGAAGCCCTCTATTGGACTCACCCTCCCATTGCGCCTTCCAGAGGAAGTCACCTAATGGGCATGAATCTGCAGACAGCCCCGGGGTAGGAGGAGACTGCACAGAGAGAGCAATGTGTCAGCAGTGAACCAACCGTACTGATGACATGTGACCAGAGAGGGGGCTCCCAAGCCACCGGACCTGGGCCATGTTTCAGACCCTGAAACTATGACATGACTCTAATGTGAAATTAGTCCCAAGAATGGCTAATAAGGTTAAATTCCCTGCCAGCTCAGATGTATGGCAGGCACCAGTCACAATTACACCCATTTATAGAGAGTAAGAGAGGTGATATGGTAAGAAAGGCCCTTCCTCTTCCAGGGTTTGAGGCCGAGGAACCCGGGGAACACGGATCCATCGTTAGGAGACTGAGCCTGGTCCCTTAATCATGGGCTGACCCTGTAATTATTGTCCAAACTGGGACACTTGAGAGTAAGAGGGGGCACTGCTCAACAGGAAACTCATCTTGGACCGTGTGTGAGCAAGAAATCAACTTCTCTTGTGTCAGTCTCTGAAATGCTAAAGTTTATCAGTTAGAACAGTTAGGATTATCTTCATTAAGACATGGACCAACTTACTGAAGTCTACTTTTTTCTGACACGGAATATATTTTAAAATAAAATTATTTTAATAATTATAAAATTTAAAATGTTGAATAAATTAAAAACTAGAAAGAGGAAAGTGTCAGCCTTAATTCTACCAGCAAACTGACCACTGATAACCAATGGATTCCCACTTATGATTTTTCAGTGTCTATTTTTATATAAGTGTGATCACAATATATTTAGTTTTGAATCCTATAGTTTAAATTATTCAACATAAGCTAATAGATTTTATTAAAAATCTATTATTGAATCTCGTTTTAGAATCTCATTCATATTTAATAAATAGGTATTTAAGTTATGTAAATAATACATAAAATTTGTAGAAAAAATAGGAAAATGGATACATAGGACGAAAAAATGCCTAAAAGAAAACTATGTGTATGAGCAAAAATTTGATTGAGTATATACTGCTCTGTAACCTGCTTTTGACATAAAGCTACCTGGTGAACATTCTTCCGTGTCACCAAATGTAATTCTATCTCATAACTTTAAGTTTCCATAGTGTTCAGTCATGTGTAACTTTTTAAAAGCTCATCCTCAAATTAGTGCTCAACATTGGTGTTGTTTGTATGATTTGACTTGTGTAACAAATCTATAAGTAATAACCTTGGCCACTTTTCTCCGTGTGGTTGATGACTAGGTCACAGAACCATTTCCTCCTTTTTTTAGGACCTTTGTATACAAGATGAGAAAATGCCATTTTCTCAATGTCTATACTAAATCTCAGTATTATCATTTTTGTAAATCCTCCCCAATCAGACAAGCAAAAAATTATTAATATTTTATTTGCATTGATTAATTAGTGAGTTTTACCTTTTTCCAAATGTTTATTAGTCTTTTAAAATATCTTGCCCTTTAATGTTCTTAGCTTAGTTTTCTAGAGCCGTGGATAATGTAGATGTGAAGGGCTGAAGAATCTATAATGTGCATGTGCCATATTTTACCCTTTTCCTATTTTGGACATTAATACTGATTCCAATTTGGGGTCTATTATTAAATAATGGTGTGATGAAATCTTTATGAATAACACACACACACACACACACACGCACACACACACTTTAGACCTCATGTAGGAATCAGTTCTAGAAATAAAAATCACTGGATCGAGAGAGAGAATCAGATGTAAACTGACTTGGACACCATTTTAAGGAAACAGGTCCCATCAAGAGCAGCCCAGTCTTCCTGACACTACAGCCATTATAAGGTAACAGTTTTTCTTCCTAATGTGCATTATACTATGTTAAGTGCTCCTATCAGGTGTGAGGGGAACTGACCCACCAGGCACTGTCCCTCGAGGCCACACACCTGGACCCCTGGTGGCGGATGTCTTTGGCCCCTCTCTCGCTGGCTCTGGCTTACACCCTGGGTCTCCGTGGAGCTCCTCATGGTGGAGTCTCTGGGGTCTCTATTTCTTTAGTGTGACAGCTTCTCCTAAGAGGCTTCTCCTATGGCCCTCTTAGGAGGGCCTGCCCGGTGGCATAGTGTTTGAGTGCCCACGCTCCGCTTCAGCAGCCACTCGTTCACGGGTTTAGATCCTGGGCGGGGACCTACTCACCACTCGTCAAGCCATGCTGAGGCGGCGTCCCACATGAAAGAGTTAGAACCCTATGACTATGATACACAACTAGCTACTGGACTTTGGGGAGAAAAATGAAAAAGAGGAAGATTGGCAACAGATATTAGTGCAGGGCCAATCTTCCTCAAAAAAAAGAAAGAAAGTATGTCCTTTTCTTACTGCTGTGCTACTGTGACCCGAAATTGTCCCCTGGATCACGCACCCTCTATCGTTCACTTGCTCAACTCCACACATGCATTCAGGTCTTCTCTCACCTGTGCTTCTGCCGGTGCTCTGAGCCCCAGGGACTTGGCAGATGGACAGTAGCGTGTGAAAAATAAACTTTTGTTTGCTTTTCACCTTATTTCTCAATGTCCTGGATTTTGCTTTTCATAGCCATGTGATTCATTTTATATTCTTTGCAATGAAGTTGCTTCTCTTTTCGATATTGGTCCCAGTTGTCAGTGTTTGTCCAGCTCTCGTGAATTTGTTGTGTTCTGTCACAGCCGACTTACTGGTGAGGCTGTTTGAAGGATACAAGATCCTAAAAGAAGGTCATCTGGGTCACAGTGAAGGGTCTTGCACTTGAAATGTGGCATTCTGTGGGTTTGTGGACTGAGATTCATGCCTTCTACATGTAAACAAACAAGATAATGCTGCCCCGGTTCCCTCCTCCCTCCGGCTCTCCCCTCTAGACATAGACTCTGCTGAGCACAGATTGGGAACCTCAGGACCTGTGGGTCTCCAAGTCCCTTCCGATTTCACACTGCCCTTCTGGAATCAGGAAGACACCCATGTGAAACTATAATGTGCAATACAGATAAAACACAGAGAATCTAATTATTTTCAAGACAAGATGTCCTATGGGCTCCAAATACAGATCCATCCACCAAACTGACCTGCCTGGTGGAAGGAGAGGAACCAAGGTAATTTAGAGGAAATTTCCCCTCATGTAAGTGTCCCAATGTCAAGGACAGAGGCTGTTATGTGCCTGGCCCAGGGAGAGAGAACAACAATTGATCTATTGATGGATGGCAAAGTGATACTTTCCAGCCCAGCAGCTCTGGAGCCTTGAGGCTCACAAAGCTGCCATAACCCAGGTTGCCAGCAGGGGAAGTCAGGTCAGGCTGAAAGGGGCTGAGGCTGCTGAGTGACTCCACAGGCCTTGGTGGCTGAGGTCCAGGGGGATGCTGGGTGAATGGAAGGCCTGAACTGTCTCTGCTCAGGTGGGAGATGGGTACTGGCTATTCTGATAGGCATCAGGTGGGCTGGCAGCTCAGGTATGACGAGGAAGCAATAGAGGAGAATTCACACGGGGCTTTGGGAACTCTGTTGGGGAGATGAGAGAGAGGCTGGCTCGAAACAGGGTGAGCTGGAGAGAATGGAGCTGTTGGCCAGGGCAGTCGAATAGAAAATAGGGGCTAGTATGCTACCATCAGCCAGGGAGGAAGGTTGCCTGAGCTCAGTGCTAGGCCCAGAGCAAGGCTGAGACTGGGACCCGAGTGAGGCTGAGGGCCATGGAAGGAGCATCTGAGCCTCCTAAGCTGCAGATCTACGGAAGAAGCCTGCCCCCGCTGGAGAGAGAGGCCCCGGAAACGGGAGACTTAGTGCCCACGGCATGGCCCCCTGGATTTACTCCCCTTCCACTGACCTGCTCCTCTCTCTGCTGCATTGTTGGGGTCTTGGTGATGGTGGTGGCTTAGAGAGGAAAGAAATTTCTAAGGCCCAGGAAGGATCATTTTTGGGAGGAGAAGATTGTCCTTTTATAATGGTCAGCGTTTAGACTCCGTCCTTGCGTGTGGACTGGAGCCATCACTCAGCTTTAGGCTGAGGTTTGGTGGGGATACTGCCAGTGGGATTCAAGGCCACAGGGATGGGGAAGGGCACTGTGTGGAGGAGCTGAGGCCCTGGGAAGACAGGGGGACGTGGGATTGAAAACGGGCTGCTCAGGCGTGTGGCAGAGCCAAGGCAACAGGGGACCCCAGGGTGCAGTCATCCAGCCCCTTTTGAGATCAACTGTACTCCTCTCCTGGGCAGGGGTGAGGGGGTGGAGGGCACCAAGAAATGTAACTTGTTCTTAAGCTGGGTCCAAGCATAACTCCCACTATTGCAGCTGGTTCCTCTGAGCTGCCCTTTCCCGGGTTGGAGTGAGGGATTTTACTTACTTGTCTTTTTTTGTTTCACATCCTTTGCCAAATGCCTTTCTATGAGCCACCCACTTTCCAGATTTTAAGAGATGCTCACACTTACGAAACATTTTAGTGAACATCCTTCCTTCTGGCCATCCTTGTTGAGTGTCTAGGCAGCTTTGGATTTGTTAGTCTAGTTTTAGGATGGGAGCTGAGGTCGAGAAAGTTCTTGGGCTGAAATGGAGGAACATCTCTAACTGTGCTGGGCAGAAGGATCAGGAGTACAGAGGGTTTTGTGAGATAGGCTGAACCCTCTGGAGTGGGGATGGTCACTCGCCTGTCCCAGCCTCAGGAGGCAGAAGAAAGGCCAACAAGAGCAGGAGTGGCTGCATCTTCCCTGAAGGTCTGCCCAGGTCAGAGCTGCTGGTGTTTCTTCCTTTAAGACACAGAGCCCTGAGGGGAAGGCAGGAGGGTGACTTAGGACCTCACAGACCTCCTAGACCTGTGCTCCTCTGGGTTTCCTGTGCCTTCATGCAAGGTGCTTTGTCAAAGTTTCCTGGCTTGGGGTAGGTGACAGTAGCACTGTCACCAGACTTGCACTCCCACTGTTGAGTCACAAGGTGAAAGCACGAAGAAAGAGCAAGAAAGCAAATTCTGTGTTGCAGCCAGCAGAGGAGCTGGAACCCAGAAGAATCAAGAATCAAGAATGTCTCCAGTTCTCAGCTCTTGGCTCTTTTCCATCCTGGTTAAGTCATGAATAGTGATGTAGCAAGCTAGGTCCAGGGAAATGAGCAACATGGCTCCTGCCCCTGAGAAGCTGGAGGTTGGCTGGAGTAGACTGAGAATCTGTGAATAGAGTACAGGATCATAAGGGCTGTGGTGGGGGTTCTGCTTTAAGGAGTGAGATAATGGCTGGCCCTGCCTTAGGGGTATGTAGAGCTGGACACACCCGAACACCCCAAATGGTAACCTCACTTGCTACCTGACCACCAGTTCAGCCTCGTATTTTGGAATATTTAGAATATTCCTTCTAAAGAGGAATATTTAGAATCTTCTCTTTAAATGTAAATATTCTGCGACAGAGAGAGTTTCTCTTATCCCACAATTTTAAATAAAAATTCTGGACTTGATATTCTTGGACCAAAACAAACCATCATCAGGTCCATCAGAATTGAGTGGCCTGATTGGTTTATGCTTGGGTCATTTAGCATCCCTAGGCCTGAGGTGGGAGCTTTTCCACCCAAATTATAGCGCCTATTTTTTGGGGAGGGCATTCTGCTTGAGGAATGCTGGTTACCGTTGCCAGGTGATGGGGAAATGGATGCCAATCATCCTAATAGTTACTATCCACTAAGTATTCTCTGTCCAGGGTCTAGTAAACCATGACTGTGATGTCCCTGGGCCTAATAATCATAAACATTTGCAAAGAGATTGTCCCAACACGCTCACCAGTATGACAACAGATGAAGGAGTAATGGAAAGGAAAGCATTCTGAGTTCTAAACAGCCTAATCCCAATTCTGTGAAAGCAACAGCATCTTTTGAGTACTTAGAAAAAGAGGGGAGGACTACATGCTTAAGCATTAATGATGATGATCTCTAGGTGGGGCAATTATCGGGAATTTTAATGTTCTGATATGTTCTGCCCTTAACTATCTTTCTTTTTTTTTTAATTTTTTTTTTCCTGTGATGAAGATTAGCCCTGCGCTAACACCCATGCCAATCCTCCTCTTTTTGCTGAGGAAGATCAGCCCTGAGCTAACATCTATTGCCAATCCTCCTCCTTTTTTTTCCACTTTTTCTCCTCAAAGTCCCAGTAGATAGTTGTATGTCATAGTGGCACATCCTACTTGCTTGCTGTATGTGGGACGCCGCCTCAGCGTGGCTGGAGAAGGGGTGCGTCAGTGCACACCCGGGATCCGAACCCCAGCCGCTAGTAGCAGAGCACGCGCACTTAACCACTAAGCCATGGGGCTGGCCCCTTAACTGTCTTTCTACGAGGAATATGTATTACTTTTCTACCCAACATATGTTTTCCCATAGTTGAAGCTCACTCATCAATGGCAAACATTTAACATTTACACACCACTTCTTTCCAGTGGAGCCTTCTGAGGGTGGATGTTTTAAAAATGAGGTTACCTTTCTGAATCCATTCTTATATAAAACAAGATTATGGGGCTGGCCCCATGGCGCAGTGGTTAAGTGAGCGTGCTCCACTGCTGGCGGCCAGGGTTCAGATCCCAGGCGCGGACCGACGCACCACTTGTCAGGCCATACTGTGGCGGCGTCCCATATAAAGTGGAGGAAGATTGGCATGGATGTTAGCTCAGGGCCAGTCTTCCTCAGCAAAAAGAGGAGGATTGGCATGGATGTTAGCTCAGGGCTGATCTTCCACACACACACACACAAAAAAATGAGATTAGTTAAAAATAGAAGGAAAGTGTACTCAATAAGCTATAGGCTATAGGACATTTTGATGAATAAAGGAGGAATCAGTAATTTCCACTCTAGATATGAAGTTTATTAAGTCCCTGGCAGCCTCCCCTCCACAACCCTCTGCCCAGTGCAATTCTGGCCTCTGCCCCAGAGAAGATGGAGGGATCAATCTTGGGGGCGGCTCAGTCTGGTCCCTTTAGTCTGAAGTATTATTCTTTTAACCCAGGGCAGAAAGCTCGAGATCCTGGTGAAGACATATGGAGGCTTCCCAGTCTCTTTTCCAAGGGAGACAATGCCCTGGGCCACATTGTTACACACAAGAGGGCCCCCAGAATCCCCCTGTGGATAGAGAATGGACAAGTCTCAGTCAGACCCCTCTGGCTCCCCCCTTCTCAGCTTCATTTTCTCCCTGGTCCTCTCCTGCCATTCTCTCAGGGCCCAGCTGTTCAAAGGGGTAGTGGCTGAGTGGTCATCATTCACTTAGGCTGTGAGTATCAGGGCGGGTAGGTGGATCCTCTGTGATCTACCTGCACCATGAGCCTGTGTCCTGGCTGTGTCCTCTCTCCAGCTCAACTCAGTCCCAGGCCCTCCTCCTGTTGTCCAATGGACAAAGGCCAAGAGATTGGCTGGAGGGAGATGTCTGGGCCCCACATGCTGGGTACAACATGCCTCTCCCCATGAGTGTATCCTGGTCCACCATTGGCTGTGGGGTGGGAGAAGGCCTGGCCATGTCACCCCAGCATAACTGTGTCCCTGGGGCAGCGCTGGGAAGACACTTGTCTCCTTACACTTGCAGTGGCCTTCTAGTCCTTAGGGTTCCCCACGCACAGCTGGATGGAGTAGTAGTTTTTGAAGAGGTCCTTGCACTTCTGTTCATTCTGCACTTCCAGATCCACCTCCCAGAGTCTGTTTGGCATTTCACCACATTCCAGTCTTCCCTAGCCTGACACACTGCACACCTGCCCCAGCCTCACCCAGTGCCAGCTCCGTGGCAGGGCGATGGTCTTCACAGCCCAGTTGAGTTGAGGCTTTTTTCACAGCTGGTCAGAAAGGTGAGAGATGGCAGTTCAGGTCCCTCCCTCCTGCTGGGCTCAGAGCCAGGGGTGAGGTTGCCTGTACTCCCCGCCTGGTGTCTCCCAAGCCCCCTTCTATTACACTGACCCAGGCAGAGCAGACAGGTTGGAGGAGAGGAGGGGACTGAGACGCTGAATGAGCTGTCTGCTCCCTCATAACCTGTGTGCGTGCACCTGAAAGTCAGCAAGATGGTACCTTCAGTAGCATGATGTTGTTGAACTTTGAATTATCATTAGAATCCTTGTGAGGGAAGGCTTTGAGCACAGGAATGACCTGCCAGCTATTTTCGTTTTTTCTGATATCGTGAGCACCCAGGATGACCTTTATTTCACTGTAAAGAAAGGGGGATTGGGTAAGCCAGAGGAGCTACACTCAGTCTCTGAAAGGCAGGTTAAAGTTCCAGCCTAGGCCACACCTGCAGCTGAGTCAGATAGGGAGGAAGGGAAAAGTGGACAGTGTGGCCTTTCTTTGCTGTGCAGCAGTGACCCAACCTAGTTCTTCTGCAGCCTGCCTGCCACCCAGTTCTCTGTCCATATGCTCTATCCCTTTATCCCACTTTGTCCTGGCCTCAGCAGATCAGATGGCTCTTTGATTAGTCATTGGTCTGTGTGCTCAAGGACCTTCCTGAGTTACAGGCCCTGGGATGGTACTAGGCATTCCCAGGAAGACAAGGACTCGTTTGGTCCAATGAGTCCTTGGACTCATTGTGGAGTACACAGTGAGTGGAGTACACATACGTGGAGTACATACCCCACAAATTCTTGTTAGGTACATGAACGAACAGTCCTCAAATTTGCTTTGGTCAGACAAAGTGCTCATTTGGTCCAAAAGACAAGGTGCTCCACACCTTCCCTTACAGTGAGCCGCTGGCAGCAGGAAGTCGTCTCGTACAAGGAACCCTCCACATCTGCTCCTCCCGTCCTTGTTGTTGTAGGAAAGTACAGATGCCATGTAGGGCCAGAAGTGCAGTCTGGTCTCTCTGCCCTATCTTATCTCCTCTGAAAGAGAAAATTGCCCTGGATCTCTGTGTTCATGAAAAGAGGGGACTGGCACTGCCAGGTGGCCTCAACCCACCGGATGTTCAGAAGCTGCGTTGGTTGTAGTGTCTTCAGGCCTCCAACACAGTGAGAGGGTACTGCAGGCTTCAGTAGGCAGCATGGCAGGTTTGCAGCATGACTTGTCTCCTGGCTTCGTTCTCAGTTTCTTCCTGTGGAGATGAGGAGCTCAGCCCTTTGTGTGGGTCAAACACACTTTATATACACTTTAAGGGGACTGTGCTAGAAGGCCTGGAAATTACTGTCTCTGACCTACCCTGGTTACTTCTCTGTCTTAGCTTCTCAGAGCCCCAGTGTCCTTCTTACTTCCAGGATGGGTCTGGTCTGAGACCTGAGCATTTTGAGCTTGTGGAGCAGAATACTCTAGATTCTCTCTCCCCCATATTGGGTCAGGCACATAGTACATACCCCACAAATGCTTGTTAGGTACATGAATGAATGGTCCTTAAATCTGCTTTCGTCAGCACCTGGGGAGGAGCAGTCCTAATGCAACCTGAACTATAGCACAGATTTATCTTTCTGAGTCATTGAGTCCTTAGGACAAATAAGGAGATACAAAGGATGGGAAATCAGAGTGAGATTGGGAATTGGGCAGGAGGGGGCCTGAGTGAAAGCCAGTCTGCACTAGGGCCGTGGGAGCAGTGGGAGGGAGCACTCTGATGGCTCAGTGAGGTTCTGGGTATCTGCCCTGCTGGAGCTGAGTGGCTCAAGAGAGGAGGGATAGGAAGAAGGTGACATCTCGGAAACTGAGTATAAGATAGCTGTTTCATTCTTGGTCCAGACGATAGCTCCTGGGCTAGGTAACCACTCTTAGCTTTGGAGAATGGGAAGTTATATCGCCCATTTTCATCTTTCCCCTCCACAAGAATCATGTGCCATTCTAATACTAAGTCACTTCCCAGGTGACAGGGATGTGACCCATAGAAGGGAGAGGAGCCACCAGGTCTCTTTGGCAATAGCTTTAT